TAGTCTCCCACATTAAGTTATCTCTCCTAATGAAGTTCCTTCTGAGGTTGTTAGAGAGAAAATACTCACTCCCTTCAAGACTTTATTGTCTTATCTCTGAGATGATGCTCTATATCTCCTATTTCCTATTCAACTTCAAGACTCAACATGTGCTTGCCCCCTTGTGATGAGATACTCTCCTAAGGAAGTTTATCTGGTAAATTTCTAGGTATGTACTTATTTAGGTTGGGAAAGTTTTCTACTATGACTTTGGTGAATAAGTTTCTTCATCTTTGATGTGGGATTCTTTGGATTTTTCTATGCCTAATATTGTTAGATTTGGTCTTTTCACAGTGTCCCATATTTCCTGAATATTTTGTGTTCAGGTTTTTTGAACTTAACATTTCCTTTGGTCGATTAATCTTTTTCCTCTATTGTATCTTTAACACCTAAGATTCTCCATTCCATCTCTTGTATTCTGTTGGTTATGCTTGCATTGACATTTTAAGCAATAGTGGAGAGTCTACCTTACATGCCCTTCAGCTATAATGTGATTGATGACTATTTTATATGCCGTCATAGACCCTTCACCCAGTAGCTGATAGAAGCAGAAGCAGAGATTCAAGGCTAAGCAATGACCTCTACTCCTGGAATCCAGTTGTAGTGAGAGAGAAATGCTGAGTAAAGGGGTCAAGACAAGGCTGGGGAAACCCACAGAAACAGCTGACCTAAGCAAGTCAGAGCTCATGGACTCTAGTCTAATAGCTGGTAAACCAGCATAGAACAAAGTCAGACCACCTGGATGTGTGTGTGAGTTGGGGTAGGGCTGGGAATTCTATGGGGCCTCTGGCACTGGAACCAGAATTTATGCATAGTGCACAAATGGGCTTTAGGAGACCATTCCCAATGGAGGGATAATCTCTTACCCTAGATACATGGGGGGATCTCCTAGGTCCTACCCCAAAATGATGTTATAGACTTTGATGTTCTTCTGTGGAAGGTCTCACTAACCATGGAGAGTGGATAGGTGTTGGAATTGGGAGATGGAGAGTGGGAAGAAAGGAGGGACAAGAAACTGAGATTGCTATGTAAAATTAGATTGTTTTTAGTTTAAATAAAATTAATAAAATGAAAGCTTATCCTAGAGCAGTTTCACATGAGTTCCTTTCCCAAAACCTCCAGTCTCCAAATTTATTTTTAACACTGTCCAGTCTTGAAATTATGTGCAAAATAAAGTAGCCCATCATTCCTCAAATTGTCAGGGAAATCTGGAAATTTAAGCTCCTTTACTTTCCCCACGAAACTTTGTTTGTTTTGTTTTTTTGAGACAAGATCCCCACCAGACTTTTTAAAACTTGGTTCTTCTTCCTGATTACTCTGAAATATTTGGATGTTTTATGTTTCACTTACTCTTTTAGCTTGTATAGAAAATCTCTTCTACTCTATTAGTTTTTGACAGTTTATATGTGTCTGTAATATCGTGTATTTGACTGTGAGATATTTTGAGAACATTTTCATTACATTTTTCATCATAGTAGTCTAAATATTTTTCTTCCCAAAATACTTATTTTAACTATCACAAAATCTCATGTAAGCCTTTAAGGAAGTATGATTCTTGCAAGTTCACTGATATTTGACTACTCCTAGTACACAAAGATGTCTTTGCCCTCTACTTTGTGTGAAAACAATGAGTAAATAACACCTATTGTACAATGTCCATCATTCATAACTGTGAGAAGAATGTAAGCTACTTGACTGCAAGCAATATATACTACACACTTCTTTTATAGGAGCCCCAATGATGGTGTACAGAATATGCAAATATCTTATTTTTTCTCAAATATAGGAATTTTTAAATCTTAATATTTCCCATCTACTCTGTTTTGTATTCATCTATTTCTGAGATTCAGGTGACATAAAATTAGCTCTTACCCACAATGACACAGGTCTTTAGTTGACTGTTAATGTTCTTGAGATTGAAAGGTAGTTGCATCCTTTCACCCCCCATTTTCTCCCATCAGTCCAGCAACCCATATGTATTTCCTTGCTTTCTCTCAAGTTCAGTTCCTTCTTGTCAATAAATTGTTGATATATATATATGTACATATATATATTCATTATGGAATATATTTTTACATACAATTTGCTTAGCATGCAACTATATTACTTGGTTAAATATGATTTTATTGTATACTTCTTTGTTTTGGACATCCAAAATGGCATTATTTTTTAAGAAATAAATATGAGACAATATGAATCTTACATTTCTGTCTTGGCAAATTATTTTTGTTCCAGCCAAGATCGGAAAATTAGGGTGTGTTCAATGAATTACAACCACATGATAGCCTTTATAAAGGCTTTCCTTAAGCTTCTCCTAAATTGGAAAAGTTTATTTTTCATGCACGTTAGTATTTTTATAGAACAATGACATCTATAGGCTTTTGAATGAGCTAGTTGCTCAGGGAATTGATGTATGTACTTTTCTAGTAACTTTTTTGGGAGACTTAGCCTCTGACTGTGTGTTTAGGAAATTGTTTTGAGACCTCACTACTGAACTCAGTAACCATTATTTCCGGTAGGGAATACATCACTGTCTCTATATTAAGTAGTTTTAGAATGATAGATGTTATCTTACTGGATCATCCCCTGACTCAGTTAGATACTGGGAGATATTTTTAGGCAACATGTTGTCATTGGTGAGGTATAAGATTATGTAAGGAGTATTTTGTCTTCTATCAATATTAGGTAGGAAGTATAGTTTACTCTATAATAGTGTATAGATATGCATAGATATAGAAACAAAGACAAATATGAAGAGAGGATATTGAAGTAAATGTGGGGAGTGACAGGGGCAATTGGCTGGGTATTTGGGCATGGCTACCGTAAATGCATATAGGTATGAATTTATGAACTATTAAATGAATAAATCATATAAATTTTGAAGTTAACAATAATACTAAGGTATTAAACACAAAGGAAATGAGGAAGAAAATTTTCATTACTGCCTTGATGGTTTCTGGTTTGTTTTTTGCGTGTGAGTGAGCTAAATGTTTGTATTTTCCTGATAACATTACTAATACTATTTTTCTGCTTGAGTAATTTATGGCATTTCTCATGTATTATTGTTTTTTTCTAATATGTATCTATTTCCACAGTGTAGTCAGTCTTGTGGGGTTGTCTAGGCAGGGTTTCCCTGTTTCATGGCCATGACTGTCCTGGAACTTCTTTTGTAGACTAGACTGGCCTCATATTAACAGAGATCCACCTGCCTCTGCCTCTCAAGTTCTGGGATTAATTTAAGACTTGTACCATCTCAAAACTGCCCACTATTGGGTTTAGCTAAAGATGTTTTCAAAAATCTTTCCTACATATATCCCCAAACTATGCCTTTCAGGTAAATTTGGTAGGTTCCAGATTTTCTTGGGACTTCTCCAAAGACATTTCCCTCCTTTATTATAGAAGAAATGGTATCGTCATTGGGTTGGTGACAACGTTGTTTTAGGGCTATAAAGCCTATTAATGAGTAAGCAGAAGGCTCATATAGAACACAAGGGTGTTCGATGAATCACTCACTCAGAATGCAATCATGAAAATAAGTGGTTTCGTCAGAATACACAGATACACTAACGTTGTAGATGAATATGGTAAGCATGTGTCTATGATATTACATACAAATATTAACAAAACCTGTGACCAAATGACCATAGTTTTCACTTCTGAGAATCCACTATTCTGTGACTTCCATAGAAATCATTCTAGTTTTCATAATGAATTGTGTGACTAGAGAAAGAGAAGGATCTGATATTGGCGAAGGAATAAAATTTAAAGAGAATATTCAAAGAACAGCATATTAAGCTTCTATGAATTAAGGCTCAAACATTATGTAAGTTTTATGGATTCCTCTGCAACTAGAGCTTCTATATATTTTTCCTTTGTACTTTATAATTAATATATGCAAAAATGTAAAGAAAAATGTATGTGTAACTACAAACCCTAAAATTAGATTAAAAGACTGTTCCAAAATATACTTAAACAATTTAAAATTTTCATTTGTCCCTTAGGTCCAAGTATATGATATTTATAAAATTACAAGAGTGAAAAAAAGAACATCATATTCCCTCGACACCACAACATTTATAGGTCTGTCAAAGTCAGAGAAAGAATGTGAGCTTGTTGATCCTTGAATGCCCATAGTATATTAGTTCCATGAACAGGGACTTTCTCACATGTAAATTGTGAACTGAGAGAGTATTAACTGTGAAAACAAAGACCCCTTTTGCAGGTATTCCTAGGCAATTATTCCCTAGTGTACTGCTCATACAAGACACATGACATACTCAGAGCATGGTCGTAGGTTAATCTGTGTATGTATTTTGATATTGAAATCCATGTCTTAAGTGAAGTCTCCTGCTAACATCACAGGTGTCTGGGAAATACAGAAAAGCTGTGGGCAGAACTTCTAGTAAGACAAAAATAAGGGAGTCTCTCAAATAGTTGGCTGATTTGTAAAGGGAGAAGGAGGAGGACCTCCTTCCAGAAATAACTGAAAGACATGGCTGTAATCACTGCATATGGCCACATGCTCCCGATTTCACTCACTCATTCTCAGAAGAAGAAACAACAAAGAATAATTGCATGCTAAATGTTTTATTAGAATGTTGAAGGTACACTTACAACATTATTCCTTGGAAATGATATAAAAATATATATCTTCTACTTCATCTGAAACAAATGAATAAAAAAAAGATAAGGGAGAAGAAAATAACACTGTGCAAATCCAGTATTTCTTGAAGAATCTCTGTTTTCTATGGATTTCTATTTCTGTTAGATTTAAAGCATATGATGCAGAGTGTATTTCAATCAAAACAATCATAGAATTCTAGGTTATATGAGCCATATAATATTTAGATGTATATATAATTTATTTATTGCTGATCTGTGGAGTTTAGGTTTGGTGTGAAGGATAATGTATCTGATTACCTTTGCACTGTCATGGAACTTCTTGGTTATACATAAAATGTTTACAGGGAACTTGACTGTTCCTCACTTCCCTGCTGGGGTGGGCCTTGTTGGTTTCCAGGCTTAGGAGGGCGATTCTGTTGCTCTCCTTCCTGCTGGGGTGGGCCTTGTTGGTTTCCAGGTTTAGGAGGGCGATTCTGCTGCTCTCCTTCCTGCTGGGGTGGGCCTTGCTGGTTTCCAGGTTTAGGAGGGCGATTCTGTTGAGGGCCTCCGTGCTGGTTTCCAGGTTTAGGAGGACGAGGTTTCTGGTGGTCGTCTCCTTGCTGTGGTGGTCTCTCTGGTGCATTTCCATCTTCTTCACCATCATCATCACCTTCTTCATCAGATGCAGAATGTTGTGGGGGGAATTCTTCAGGTTGGGGTCTCTGATGAGTTTGGCCTTCCTCTGCAGGGATATCGATCAATATAGGAGGAGTTCAAACTTTCTCTTTCTCCAAGATCACCCTCCCAGCTCTATGTGCCTGGTTCCTCTTGACCTTCATTTTACATTCACCACACGAACTTTCTTGTGTATCAAGTCTTTGTACCAATATTTTTCTTAAAATTGATGCATAGTGATAGTATATTCCTTACAATTCTCAGACAGAAGTGAAGAAAATGGAAGCGTTTGTAAATACTACAGGTTAAAAAATGGCCAGAATGGCAAATTTTGAAAGCAATGCTCTTTTCTTAAATATATCATGGTGTTCAGGTTTCAGTGGTAATGTGGACTTGAAAGAAATGTAGAAACAGGATGAAATGATGTTTCATTCATTTTTATGTAGTGGCTTTTTATGTATTAGTCATCTATTCAGCATGAGCATATAATTTTCCTTGGAATCACTGGTGAAAGTATGCCATGGAGAAATTTACATGAGGATACCCAATACGCTCATCATATGCAAGACATTTTTCAATCTGTGGAAGAGACATAATGTTCCTCTCATAAAAACCTGGCTTTCCCCTCTTCCATTGTATAGACTTGCTCTAGGTCCTAGAGGCAATGTTGGGAGTTGTTCTGTATATCACAGGGAAACTCTAACACATTCATTTCATAAAATAACAAAATGATACATAGACTTTATATAGCCGAATATTTAAAACAGTAAAGATTGCATTGAAGTTCCCTAGAGGATAAATCTGGCTTTACCTGAGAGTTGCGAAGAAGACTCTTCATAGATGGTTGCTAGGAAATAAGCACAAAGTAGTTTTAAGGTTAATTATTACTATTTTCAGGTTTCCCACTAAGGAGGACTTTCAACCATAGCTTCACATCCACTAAGTAGAATTCCTTCTTGGGTAATGTTGCTGATAATGCTGCCAGAATGTTATCTATGATCAGGAGTAACCACTATTTGGTTACTTATTAGCTTTCTCTTAACTTACTCTTAGTCCTCATGTACAATCTGGGAATTTTTGTATTTCAGTAGTGTTTTAATGTTTTTCCATTTTATATTTTTAATTTAAATTTGAAACAATCTTATTTTACATTTCAGTCCCAGTTCTCTCTGCCACCCATCCTCCCATGCCTTCCTCCCCACTCCATCTCACACCCTGTCTACTCCCCTGGGAGAGTGAGGTCTTCCATAGGGGATCATCAATGTCTGTGACATCATTTGAACAGGGTCCTAGGCCCTCCCCTGTGTATTATGCTGAGAGAGTAGATCTCCATTGGGAAATGGCTCCCAAAGTCCATTTGGGCACTAGGAATAAATTCTGGTTCCAATGTAAGAGGTGTCATAGATTGTTCAGACCTCCTACCTAACACCTGAGTTCAGAATGTCTGGTTCTGTCCTTTGCTGTTTCCCCAGATTTCTGGCTGGGATACATGAGTCCCACTTGCTGAGGTCAGCTGTTTCTATAGGGTTCCTCAGCATGGTCTTGATTCCTTTGCTCATTACTTCTCCATCTCTAAACTGGTGTACATTATTTATGCTTTTCTTTATCACCTTCACTTCCTATGTGATATATTTACAGGCATTTTATGCATCAAAATGAGAATAAAATTGTTTAAAATACTATGTATAGAGCAATGAATATTGACTATGCAACATTAAAATTGAGAAATAGGCGCAGCTATGTATCTCAGAGGATAAAATACGATTGGTCTATGACTTGAAACCAGTTTCATCCTTGAATCCCACTTTAGAAATACTAATCTTTCTCCCTGTATTGTCCTCTGATTGGAATGTGCATGTGTATGCTCTTCCCCACCTCTCTGTTTGTGTTTGTCTCTGTGTCTCTCTTTATCTCAAACACATATACACCAACACACAAACAATTGTACATATACACATGCATTGAAATAATTTATATATCTCTCTCTCCTTGTGTGTATGTGTGCAGTTGTGTGTAGTCCTCTGACTGGAATGTAATACGCATGCAAATTGTTTCCCTGTCTCTCTCTGTCTATCTATATTTGTATGTATATATGCAGTCAAGACAGTTGTGCATGTACAAAAATAATCTTCAAAAGAAATTATTCCCTGATATTTCAAGCTCATTTTGTACAGAGTTTCAAATCCATTATCTTTTACTTTTCTCAAAAACAATCTCTGGTATATGTTTACTTCTTTCATGTTTCTCTATCCTCCAAACACCACTGTTGGCATCATTCACACCTGCTTCTCATAGCACCTTAAGAACTGTGTTTCCCTCTGTTCAGACTACATCCTAACCCACTGCCTTCTATAATCCACCAACAATATATTTTCACAAATGCAGTCATGTTATTTTATTGCAAGATGGTATTCTTAAATTATACTGTAAGTAAAGTATAAGATCAACAGGCAAAATGGTAATATAAATATTCTAATGTTTGTTCTCCTATTTTTTGGATGAGTTTCTTGTTCATCTTTTTCCATTCCTCCCAGGCCTGAACTTCAGTTTTTCTTCCAAGTCTCATGTCACTGTACCACCCTTTCCCCTACTCCATACCTGCATTTGAGCTCTGAACCGAGCTCAGGGCCAACAAGGCTGCTGTCAGTAGGACCACCAACATCTTGGAGGAGGCTCTGGAGTTGCTCCCAAGTGTGTGCTGTGGCCAGCAAGGCCAAAGTCTTTATAAGGAAGGCAGAACAAAGCCATCTTTCAACTCCTCAATGTTTATCTGACCTGACACAGCAGCGTACTTTGCATCCCTGAACTTTCTTTGGGATTCTAGCCTAGCAAGATGCAGTGGAGAGGAGATAATTAATGTTTCAGTTCTAAATGATACAAAGTGAAACTTTGACAAGAATGTTTAAGTGATACAGGTATATTCCAGACATTAGACATATACTTCTATTATTGTTCATGTCTATCAATTTTTAAGATCTATCATTGTTTAAGTCATTGTTATTGACATAACTCCAACTCTGACCTATTACGTATGATCGGGGAAGGATTTCCTCTAACTAAATGTATATTTGTGTCCTTATTCTTACTGTCATAGAGACTGATTCTGGAAATTGTCTCTCCTAGTAAGTGTAAAATTTAATTACATGCCTATAACACTTAGTTTATTGATTTGTTTTGTTCTTCAGAGGGTTAGGATACCAAGCAGGGATGCATAATTCATATGTCAAAGAATGACAGCCTGTTTGGGCATAGACATACTTCCCAAGTTTCCCAGGATTTGCTTGACAGAAGAGAAATTATGATAACAGAAATAGTAGATGGAATATTCTGTTCTTTTTCATGTCCTTGATGTTAGATAAAGAGGATTGGCAGTAGAGAGTCCATGTAAATGTAGGCAATCCATGTGTACCCAGTTTTACATGATTCATTAATGCTGTTTTTCTCAGAAAACATCTAATATCCAACTTTTCAATTGTTGATTTTAGAATTGAATTAGATTATGCTTTGTTTTTTTGGTATTGTTTCCTTCAGGGATTATTCTTATTTTTTATTTCAGAAGAATGCTTATTTCCATATTAATCCCCTCATTCTCTTGCCCTAACATCCTCATATGCTTCTCACCAACTCCCATCCCATTCCTTGTCCTCTCTTCAGGATTAGTGTTTCCCTCTGCAGGGGGACAATCATAGTAGCTCTCATTTTTTGGGGAGGGCCCAGGCCTTCCTTCATTTATCTAAGCTTCAGTAGTATCCCTACATAGGGAAAGGCTCTTGTGCTTAGGGATAAACATTAACTCCACTCTTAGATGTCTCATAGTCTGTACAGTGCTCCTAGATGGCACCTACATTCAGAGGGCTTGGTTCTGTCCAATGCTGGCTTTATGACTAGAGTCCTTGTGCTCTCACTAGGTCAGGACAACTGTGGCAGTGACCATTTATTGGATAGACACATGAAAATATAGTCTGACACAACCTTCACAGTCTCCATGGGTTGGCTTTTTTTGATCCTCAACATGGTGAATCATATTTGCCATGATCTGACATGCAGTTCTCAGATATTTTCCATCCTGACCCGTTGATGATTTTAAGAACATACAACCCACTGATGTTCTTTACCAGCACCTTCTCTCTGCCTCTTACATTTCCAATGAACACCTGGACATACCTTTCCATTTTATATCTTCTTTATTCTTTAGCTTTCTTTTGACTTGTGTTCATTGCTTCACCGCTGTTCTTCTCTCCTTCATACTAGGAGGCCAGATGTGAACCACAGAAGACAGCTTCATTAGTCTTCATGACCATAGTTTCGTTTTTTCTCAAAAATATTAGTTAGCAGATAATCGGTATGGGTTACTCATTTTTAAACCAGTACTTAGGGACAGAGGGAGGTGCATCTCTGTGTTCCCAGCCAGTCAGGTCTCCAAAGTGAGTTATAGGATAGTTAGTACTATTATGCAAATCAACCCTCTCTTGAAAAACAAACAAATAAATGTTTAGCAAATAGTGTGTTTAGCTAGTTATTGATTGGATACTGATGTTATTTTGTTCTATATAGTCCTACACTTTCCTGTTTCAAGTTGGAATCACTTGACAGTGGGAGGTGCATAACACAGTGTGTAAATAGCTGATTTTTCATGTCTGAGACTACGTTTAGCTTCCGTTACTGCCTAGTTTTTTATTGGAATTGACAAAAATTGGAAGAGAACTTGGATGAGTTAAAACAGGAAGGGCCATGTAGTGTAAATTTAGATGATTCATCATCCAGTATGAAATACTTTCATGTGCTGGGCATATCAATAGAACTAAACAGTATATAGAATATCTATGAAAAAAGTGACCAAAAAAAGGTTCCTTGTTACATATGCAGTGAAATTCTATAGTGTCACCGGGTGTATTTTTCCCTATTATGGTGATAACAGTTGTGTTATGAATGTGTGGTATATTTGTCTATGATAATTTTGTTTGGTTCTAAGAAAGCCAAAGACATTCTCACAAGATTCTTGAAGTATATTAAATACAGGGAACCACTGACTGTTGGAATATGCCCCAATTTATATTGACAGGGTAATTGTCTAGTGACTGCACCTACAGAAATGGAATTATCTGGAGATGAGTGCTCCTGATCATGTATGGCTTTGGTAGACTTTGTCCTGTGGAAGTCACAGAAGGAACAGAGGATAAAGTTCAGCATTCATGTTCATGTGTGTGTAGCTAAGGAACTGGCTTTTCCGGCAGAACTCAGCCTTGTCCTTTGTAGGTGGGACTTGCATAGAGAAGTTGATTTTTCCAGATATCACACAACTAGAGCCCTTTTCTTGACCTTTTTCAATATTAACACTGTCTGAAAGAGATTATTATTTTATGTAAGAGAAATGATAACTCATATCTCTCCAGAAATAATATAATCAGTTTGTAGAGCAGGTGAGAGGGAACATTGAGTCGCTAACATTTATGATGAGCAGAGTAATACACATCATGCAAAAGGTTCTTGGATCCTTTAGTGTTTAAAGCCATTAAGAATCACTTCTCCTTAAGATCCAGCTGTAGGTGTTCTGGTTACATTCATGAATAATTCAAATTCATAGCATTGTAAAA